CTATGGACAACGGAGTTGGTCTTTGAGAAGTTGGTGCCGAAACCTCCGCAATGCATCAGAGGTAGAAGTTGGCTCAAGCAAGAAGTTTGCTCCGACTGGCTTTGACCTGCCATCTTGCTGCTCGAGCTCGGATGGACTAAAACTAGCTCGGGTTGGCCGCCGTGTGGAGGAGAATCATCAGCCAGCTACACACAGGAGGGCACTGGCAAGCCATGCTGCATCATTGCCAAGATCTGCACCGCCTGGGTGGTCTTACCCCTCGTGCCAAAGCAGTGCGCCATAAACCTGGCGGGGTCAACGCGGAGTGGGTGGAACCAGTTTCAGGTGGGCTGAAAAGCTTGGATATGAATGCCGGAAGGATGCAAGCCTCAGAGTTTGAGCTGAGGCACGAGGAGCCCTCTCCGTAGAGACTCTTGCGGACAAGCAGCCGCCATCCTCAGATCTGAAGTGATCGAGGATTCTGTGCAGCTCACGGCTCAGGCTTCAAATTTCAGCATATTTCAGCTAATCGACCCTTCAAGACTGATTTTCAGATCTCCGAATGTAGATCAGCCTACATCCCTCAGTTGTCGTGTTTTAAAGTCGAACCAAGTGATCAGTGACGTGCCGTGACGTGAGCTTTGGCTGTGTCCAGGCTGCTGGCCCAGTGGCTGAAAGAGCTGTTTGGGAGAGGAGCCGGCTGCAGCGCAGAGAACCACATCAACAACCTGTATCAAGTGCATTTGTCTCCATGGGCTGCCGCAAGTGTCTGCGACGTGCGATGCATGCAGTGGGGTGACGAGGGCGTGCACGAGCACGGAAGGGAGATAGAGAGAGAGAGAGAGAGAGCAAGAGAGAGAGAATGAGAGAGGGAGCTGGGAGCAAAAGAGTACGATGGCAAAAGCTAAACACACATTAGCACTTAAGCAGGCGTGGCAGCTTTCAAGTTCTGAGGTCCAGCCCCTGGCACGGCCAAAAGTAGAGGACTATTCATTTTTCCGCAATGTTGTTTGAATTCGTGCTTTTGCCGTTTGTCATGCTATGTCGTCCATCTTTAATCACTCAAGTTCCTTTCTGCTTATTTTAGATGCTACCCCCTTGCGTTGCAAGGCCTATTGTGCCCAAGAACAGCAGAGAGACGCATCCTGCATTCAGGAACTGCTGCTCTGCCGCCTTCATGGAGGTCCTGAAAGATTGTGAAGCGATGCGAAGCGAGCAGGTCATGTTTATGCAATTTTATGCATTACAGCCTTGATCTCGGACAGATTTCAACAAACGAGCATGATTTTATTTGTGTGACCGGGGGAGAGAGTGCAGGAACGATGTGAGAGTTGCGGCAGTCAATCCCGTCCGTGAGGCCGGACTACCCAACAAGCTGAAACCCGCATCTCCAAGCTTCCGGTAAGCTTTTGAACTCTATAGTGTCTGAGACAAGTCCCGTGTAGTCCTGTCTGGCATGGTGTCTGCTCGGCTTGCTGCCATCTCCTGCAAGTCTTAGTTTCCTAGTTGCACTTCAACTTTACGGATTTGTTCCCTCCTACTTGGCAAGGACGAGGCACGCATTGCAGGGTACTTGGTTGAACAGCTGAAGTAGGCTAAGGCATCGAGCCCACCATGAAGGAAAGCACAAGCTTCAGTCCTATAGCAACTTGTTGGCTACAAGATCAAAGCCAAAAAGACTCCTCATGAGCCGTCTTGCACATAAGCCAACACAAACTTTATGGAATCTCATAAAGGCTTGTCAGACTTTGGGGCTTCGAACGCTGCAGCTTCCGTCAACGCGAGGCCAAGCGTCCGAAGCAAAGTGGACCCAGCATAGCGCTGCCCGGCGAGCACTAGCGCGGGCTTGCCTGAATTGGATGCAAAGCCAGGAGCCATGAGACTGCGAAATACAGAACCAAGCAGTCATTGCACATCTGTTCTTTCCGTCTCAACACGTCGAGTTGCTCACAGTCTGTCAGCTAAGCAAAAACTTCGACGACATCTCAACCAGCTTCTCTCTTGGACTCAGCTATCTAGGTCCCCCTAGCTCGAGCCTGCCTGAAATGTGTCCGTGTGGCGCCTCTTCTTCATCTTGCTCGCAGCACCGATTGTGGTGTCCAACATTGGTCAATACACTAGCCTCCCCTCCATGCCGGACAAAATGCCTGCATGCGATAAAACGTCTATTGCGTGCGAGAGGTTAGCAAGGCCTTTTAATGGATTCCTTGAGGCTCCTCAGCCTGACCCGATCAAGCCTTCTCCCTCGAATCCCGCTTTCGGTTGCAACTCGGCACATGAAACTGATGCAGACTACCCCGGAGTCCTCACTCACTCACTCACTCACCTTGCTTGCTTGCGTGCTCCGGGTTTTCGGCGCTCACACTCGGACAATCCAGGCTGCGGGTTTTAGGGGTTGCGGACAACCCCTTGGCGTGGAGGCCTACCCCTCAAGGCGTGCATACAGTCCGATGTCTGTTCTGCCCTTTCCAGGGGTCTGTGCGAGCGTTGCCCCCCCATTGTGCCGGTCGTCTTGTGTTCACCGCTTCATCACTCACTCTCCCCTCAATTCCAGTGACAAGTTGCTGCTCCACCATCGACAAGACTCCGACTGCTGTGTCGCCTTAGGCGAAACCCCAAACCGTGAACTCTTATCATATCGTTCGACAGGGTTGGCTTTTCTAATGGGACAGGGCGCCCAGCATCTGGGAAATGTCTCTCCATGCAGCCACCACTTGGAACGCGGCCTCGGAGGAGCTTTGGAAGTCGTTTGCCGCCTCGCGCGCATCTCCCAGCGACTCGAAGAGTCGAGCAGCGCTCCAGTGTAACCGGGCGCGGCGACGAAGCTTCGGTACGAGGACTTCTCCAAAAAACACTCGGGCTTCTTCCAACTGCAAAGGGCTAGCTTTCAGCAAGAGTGCTTGCACAGCGGCCGCTGTTTCAACAATGGGCTGCATGGGGCTCAGCGATGCCTCCTCCTTCAGAAGCTTTTCCAACTCCCGTGCTGCCATGTCAGCATCTCGGCTGACTTCGTCAGAATACAAAGCAGTGTAGCGCAAGCGGTTAGCACGAGCCAGATGGACCTTCTTGCGTGCTGCACCACGGAATGTCATGTACTCCAAGCACCGTTCCACTGTGAGCCGGAAGGCACAGCGTGCCTCGAACTCGGAATCTCTAGGTCGCGAAAGCATGGCGAAGACTGTCTCCCATATGCGCGGGACACACAAAGCCCGGAGCTGTGTCGCCCCGGCCGCGGCGGCAGCATGACTGGGACTGGGCCGCACAAGCTGGGCTGCCAAAATCTCGCAAATGCCGCGGTGCCAGGCCAGATCCGAGCTCCAGGCTTCAACCGTCTCCGCAAGGATCTCACGCAGCGAGCTCGTAGAATCCAGGGATGACAGATCTTGTTTTTGTGTGCACCCAGCTTCCGACAAGATGAGGTGACACCGCTGGCCGAGGAACTCCTCAAAGCGAGAGTACAAGTCTCCCAAGCTGGCGCTGGCCGCAATCTCGAAGTCAGCCACCTCCCGACCCGACAGCAGCCATCCTCGCACTCGGAACCTGGCGTCCCCAAAGCTTTCTCAAGGCGGACGTGGATGAATCGCACAAGAAACGGAGCATGACCATCCACGTTGAAAGGAACCCTGCGAGCCTCTCCTGCTCCACTGATGACTTGGCATCCAAGATGTCGGCAAACATGTGGTCTTGCAGGCTGGCCGAGCTCACGTAACTCACAGCGATCCTTTCGCGGGCATTGCAAACTTACAGAGCAGACTGCGAAACGCCAGGGCCTCTTTGTCGCTACAAGCTACTGTACAAGTACACAGAAGCCTGTCGCAGTTGTCGAGAATCACATCAGTTCACCCGAATCCAGGCAGAGTCTCTGAACAGCCTTCCGGATCACGTTCGCAGGGGTCTGAATGTCGGCGTTGTCTGTCTGTGTCCTCCAGCTTTGCCGATTTTCGGATTAACGCAGCATCGCCCCGTCACTTGCTGCCTTAGATGTCCTGTCAGGTCCCGTGATAGATCAGCTGCCCTCCGAATCTGAATGCGACCCCGTGCGAGTAGCAGTCAGAAAAGCCCGCCGTTGTTTCGGGGCAATCGCGAAAGCAGTGAATCACTCTCCAAGCTCGATCTGGCGTTGAGACCCCAGTGTCGAGCTAAAAACCAAACATGGCAAAGGAGTAGTGAGTAGAGACGCGACTTATCCGCACATCTGCCCTGAACATCCCTGACATTCCCTGAGCCATGGCAGCCACGGCCGATGCCCGACGGTACTTCCCACATGCGAGTCTCAAAACGAGCGAGCCCTGTATACGAAAATTGCTGGCGCCCACGCCCGGCAGCCTCTTCCGGTCGGGATGGCTGTCCACTTGCGGTTCCGTCAGCCTTTCAAGGTCACTGTTTTAAGAATCCGGCAAATGAGGATGGCAGCAGGACGTGCGGACTTCATGTTCTTGCCACGAAAATTATGCGTGGTGTGCACGCCATCTTTTTGCAAAAACTCATTCTTGTGCAGGCTCACGTGTGCATTTCTTGAGCTTGTTTGCTCAGGCTTAGCATTGCTGCACTCTCCCGGCCCTTGCCAACACGAAATGCAAAGAAATGAAGCCAGAGCCTGGCTCTTTGCGAGAGTTGCACGTCGAGAAGCTTGTCTGCGCACACAAGGCTCTCCTTGGCGAGAGACATTGCTGAGACACTCCGGGCAGCCAGGGCCTTCAGAAGTGGCCTGCACCTAGACGTCTTGGCTGCGGAATCCTGTTGATCCATCCAGCACCCCAGCATTTTGCTTTTCTAGTTCGCCTTCTGTGCCAGCTGCCTATGACTGCAGACGGGCAAGTGCGATGAGACCCAAGACTACATGTTTGAACATGATGCTGCATCCCTGGTCGCCAGACACAGAACTATCCAGGTCTCTTCTGCGGTTGCTGCACGGTGTTCTCTTGCCGTGGTGACCCCCCAGCCCGCGTGTCACCATGCGACAAGCGAGCGATGCCTTTTAGAGTACACACCTGGCCCAACCTCAAGACGGCATCCTTTCTTTCTCTCTGTCCAAGGCTCACCGAAAACAGCTTCGGCCTCACCATAAACTTGCCAACGCTGATCTGAATCCTGGGCGTCGGTTGGAGGGCTACGTTGCTCGTCTCCAGGTCTCGCCCAGACTGTCAGAGGGATCCAACAAAGATTTAGCGGAATTCTATTGAAAAGCAGGGGGAGATTGACCAGAAAAAGACCTCCCCTAAGACAAGACTCGTCGGAAGCGTGCGCAAGCAGCTCGAGGCCTCGTCTCCAGAGTTGCTTGGAGGCCGCGGCCATTCCTTGCGGCGTCCTCTTCTATGCGCGCTTTTCTGCCACCAAGGCAGGCTTAGGCAAAGAGAATCACGGCAGTGTCTTCTGCCGTCTTCGTGTTCCGTTAGAGCTAAGCAACTACGACAACGACGGCGGCTCACATCCGCTGATGCTGCTACTTCAGCTAACTCTACTACGCTGCCAGAAACTACTACCGCTGTTGCTGATTGCCAGTGTTACAGCTACAGGTCTACGAGCAACTAGTCCACTTTGCGAGTGGGAGGTGAGTGTAAACATGGGTCCTTTCCATGCGACAGCGCAGTTGGAGCAGGTCCACCAAGGACGAAAGATCTGGCCATGGCCCTTCGTCAGCTTGCTCGCGTGCCGAAGTTGCCGCAGCAGGATGACCAGTACCATCCGCAGACATGGAGTGGCCCTTCGACGCTTGAGAGAGAACTCCTCCGTGTGCTGCTGCGAAATGCTGCATGAACAGGGGATCCAAAGCGTGGCCGGCCTGCAGCCGCAGTCGCTCCTGTCCCAATACTTTCCGGACTTTCTTCTGGTCCGGTCCACTGCGCAGCTGGAGTTCGGACCAGAGCCAAGCGAGCGCTTGCTGCACCGACTCGAGGCGGACTGCGGCCCTGGGAGGAGCCTCCTCCCCTTGGCCTGACCGAGCAGTTGGAGCATCAGAGCCTGGGCCTGACATCTTCGCGTAAGCAGAGACGCCATCCACGAACTTCACCAAGTCTCGGCTTTGCCAATGCTCAAGCAGGGGACCCCAAAGGGACTTTGGGCCCGATTCCACGAAAGCACAGCCGCAACGTGAACGAGTGATGGCCACGTAGAGTGCCTTCAGATCCCGGACCAGGGACGGGATCCGCTGGCTGGCATTATGGGACATGCCGCGCTGGGCCTGTGTTGGGCGCTTGCGGCGCTTCTCGGCTGTCTTGGCCTTCAGGAATTCCTCTACTGCATACCAGGAAGCTCCGTCCCCACACACCTTAAAGAAGTCGCAGATAACCACGAAATCGAACTCCAGGCCTTTGGCCTCCGCCACCGTCAAAATAGTGCTTCTGAGGCCTGGCGGTGTATCTACGAGTACAACCGGAAGTTTGTAAATGCACTGGAGTCACTGGAGCGCCTATCGCAGCCTGGCCTGCCGTTTAGCATAAGTCTACAAGTGTTACCCTTGGACAGTGGTGCATGAGAGCGAGAGCGCGCTTTTAGGGGACCAGGTGGTGTCGTAGCCTTTGCTTCGCATATCGTTGCCGGAGGCTGCTCGGTCTCGATGTCTAGAGATTACGAAGCATCTTTGCGCACACAATAGATGCTTCGTTGCATGTCGCCTTGATGGCGAAGGCTCTGACGAGCCGAGTCCGCACCAACCAGCACAACACAGCGCGTGGAATCCATGCTGCGAAGGAGGCGGCCACCAGTGCCCATCACCTGGGGAAAAACAGTAAGTCAGATCTTGGAGATTCTCCCGCACGAACAGTTCTCAGAACGCAGGCTTTGACAAGGGACAATGTCCACAACCTCACTTCCAGAATGCGAGTGCACAAAGAGCGGCACTTCACCACCTTGCGCGGCAGTGGCAGTCTCTTCCACGGCATCCACAGTGTTGGGGAACATCTGCACAAGCAGCTCTGAGACTGTGTTCGCCAGTCGCACGATGGACGGTGCAGAGCGATAGTTGAAAGCCAGCGACATCTGCCGGCAGTCTCCAACGTGATCCCAAGAGCACTTGGCCGCTTCCTTGTCTGGATCACCATCAGTAAGTCCTGCAAAGCATTTCGGCTCCAACCTCAGAAAGGTGTCCATGATGTCTTGGAACGAGAAGGCACTCCCCGGGTTGATCGTTTGACAGGTATCCCCCGCAATGGTGATGCCATCAGCGTGTCCGCACAAGGACATGAGAGCAGTCAACTCGGCAGGTGAGAAATCCTGAGCTTCGTCCACATAGATCTCGTGAACGAGCCTCAGTGTCGGCTGTGACAAGATCAGAACGGAGGGGACCTTGGCCCTCCGGTGAAAACAATGCCTGCTTCAACATCCGTGACGCGTGCACTGTGCACAAAACCTCTTGGAACAAGTTCGGTGTTCCTCGCCATGGCACGCCCCCTCGCCGGCATTTCGAAGTGCCACGGCCACATCGGTGCCATCGGGGTACGCTCGCTTCAGGCGCAAGTACTCCAGAAACATACCTGGGAGTGACAGTGATAAGCTTCGCTGCCTCCATCTGGACAATCGCTTCTGCTTTCTCACACAAACATCACCCTGCACTCCGGCGTTCGGAAGTGTTAAATTCTGAGTTGTAGATCTGAATCCTTGCGGATTGGCAGACCGGATCTTGTGGCAATTTTTAAACCGGAAGTGCATGAATATCCAGTTTGAACCATTAGTATGAGGTTTGACTTGGAGCTGCGGTGCGGTAGATTTCTCGCCGCTGCTGCGGCTGAAGAGGCACTCCCAGGGCAGACAGGCCCTCACCTGCGAAGTTAACTGCTACAACCGATAGTAGAGAGGAGGAAGCTGCAAAACCCTGTGGAGCTCAGGTTCTCGGCATAGCGGGCCTGTGCTCCTGCCTCCCCCCCGCCGCAGTGCCGACGAAAACGACAACGACGACGGCAGCGTGCAGCAGAAGCGCACTGCAAGACCTGGCTACACCTTCCTCCTATCCTATCATGGACTGTATGGGCTCTGGAGTCGCTCTGTCATGGGTGGTGTCCTGCCATGTCCTGCCCAGCAGGGGCCGCAAACTACCCTGGGGGACTAAACGAATGGCCAAAACAGACGAAACGAACTAAGCATTAATCAGATCGGTTCACTGTGAACGAACCAAGTGCGGCAACCTGCTGACACATCAACATGCAGCGCTGCATCAAAAAGCTGGCACGGCCTGCAACAGCCTCACAATACTGCTCTTGAGTGAGAGAGTAGCCACCAGTGCTGTCCAGCGTCTTCTTCCTCGTGCGCTGAATCGCAGAACGGCTAGATCAACGATGCGACGACTCACTTGACACCAGCGTTCCTCGCTCCTCCTGAACGACTTTTTTTCGCAACACGGTTGCGAAAGGCCTTCCGAAGACGGTATCCACAGCTGAAATGAGCCCAGGCAGCTCTTGGTACTCTGCGAAGGAGACTGCCCCGAGGCCCTCGCCGTGCAGCACGGTGGCATCAAAGCTCCGCAGCCTGTTATGGAATTCTGCCCAAACCTGGGAGCCATCGGTTCGATTTCAAGGGATCGTGTTGCAAAACAAGACCGCCGCTAGAAACCCACAGGCCACGGAGCCAAGAGGGGATCCAAGTCTGGTGGAGCTTTCAGGGAGGGCCAAAAGCGACTCGAGAAGCCTGAGTACTGAATGGCCGGCTGGGCCTTTGGGACCAATGCCTTAACCAGCTCATCCCACGTCACGCCTGCGGCAGTGACTCCGATGGGTCTGGAGAGGTTAGTACTGGTCTGGTGGGCTTACCGGCTTACCTACGGAACCATTAATGGGGCATAATTTCCGGCCAGGGGCAGACAGGTGTGCCGCCAATGCTGCCACGCAGAAGAGCAGCATCACGAGATGCACTGCCGAAGACCGTTAACTGCTCCAACACCTGTGGGTTTGTGCAGCAACTGAATCTGGGAGGATGTGGTACTGATGTGGTGATGTGTGATAGCAGGAACATTTGCAACCAGCCGGCCTGTGCGCAAAGCAACGACGACCGAGTGACGAAGAGGCGCTTTGCAGCAGGGAACTGGCGACGTGCACGCAGGATGCGGTGAATGATGCAAATCGTTTTGCCAGTGCGGGAGCGACCCTGAAGAAAAAGACTGTGAGGGCATTCGATGATTCTTCGCTGAGCGCGGGAAGGCTGCACTGCGCAAGGAGCAGTTTCAGACCGACCTCCATACTGCGAGAGCCGGGCGACGATGTCTTCCATCAGTTCTTTGGCGGATACTTTTACCCGACCGTGAATCCATGCAAGTGCCGAACTCTGCAGAGACGTCTCGCAGATCTCGTGCACTTTGAGGGCGGCATTTTGCACGTCCAACTCGCATGCCTTCAAAGCTGGGGAAGCGTTCGCTGCTTCGGACTGAGTGAGTAACTGTGAAGTGGCTCTGTAAAGCGCCTGCAGGGCCTCCTTCGGCAAAGTCTGCTGCCACAGGGCAGCCCGTGCTCTGAGCACGGAGGCCTCGGCAGCTGCCAGCTCCTCGTAGATGCTCTGATCTGCACCTGGAAAGCCTTGGCTGCTGCAAGCTGCAAGCTGCAACAGCATAGAGTACCATGTCCAGAAACATCTGGCACAGTGCGGCACAGTTCGTTGTTTTGTGCCTTGTGCCTAATTATTGTCCTGGTTCGTTCGCGTGTGTGTGTGTGTGTGTGTGTCTGTGTGTAGAGTGTGTTGTGTGTGTGTGTGTTGTGTGTGTTGTGTGTGTTGTGTGTGTTGTGTATGTTGTGTGTGTGTGTTGTGTGTGTGTTGTGTGTGTGTTGTGTGTGTGTATGTGTGTGTGTATGTGTGTGTGTGTGAGTGAGTGAGTGAATGAGTGAGTGAGTGAGTGAGAGTGAGTGAGAGTGAGTGAGAGTGAGTGAGAGTGAGTGAGTGAGAGTGAGTGAGAGTGAGTGAGAGTGAGAATGAGTGAGTGAGTGAGTGTGTGTGTGTGTGTGAGTGTGTGTGTGTGTGAGTGAGTGTGAGTGTGTGTGTGTGTGTGTGTGTGTGCAGGGCCCGAATTGCTCCCAACAGCGGGAGAAGATCGTAGAGCCCCAGTACCGCATGCAATGGCCACAAGTTGGAAGGCGGTACGTCAGAGATTCAGCGTGGGGAAATTTGGTGCAGGTCGTGTCGCGATGCTGTGGGATCACCTGCTCGAAGATATCCAACTACCTAGTACTACTTAGCAGCCTGCAGACCTTGGCGTTCGGTTGCCATTTCAACCGGAGCCTTGAAGGTATCCAACTACCTGGCAGCCTGCAGGGGTTGATGCTGGACTTTACGTTCAACCTGTGCCTGGAGGGAATCCAACTACTCAGGGCGTGCAAAGTTTGATGTTTGACCATACACTCAACCAAAGCCTGGAGGGAATCCAGCTCCCGAAGAGCCGGCAGAGTTTGATGTTTGGCTATGCATTCATCCCAAGCATGGAGGGCATCCAATTAGCTATGCGTTCAACTGGAGCCTGGCTGGCATTTAAATATTCACCCAGCAGCTTGCAGAGGTGGACGTTTGGCTATGCGTTCAATGGGAGCCTGGAGGGCATACAGCTACTCAGCAGTCTGCAGAGCTTGATGTCTGGCTTTGCGTTCAACAGAGCCCGGAGGCATACAATTACCCAGCGGCCTGCTGAGTTTGACGTGAAGTTAAACGTTCCCGCTCGTAAGCAGCCACCTGCAATCGCTGACAGCCTGAGTTTGCGATAGGCCTTTGGATAGTAATCGCTCCAAGTGCCGACCTGCTAATCATAGTTGCTTCATTGAACCCTTGAGTCACAGAACTAAAATCGCTGCTGCTCGTGGGCGATGAAGTGGAGGCGGAGAAACTGTTACCGCATCAGTATGTATCCCATGGCCTTGTACATACCTGAGTTTCGAGGATCGTGCTCGTACAGTTTGTTACGTGTCGCATGGCCCGATCTGCATACACTATGTCACTGTGCAGATAGCTGCGGCCATGTATGAGGGTCCCCGCGGACATGTATGGCCTCGTGAAGGGACCCGGTTTGGAGGAATAGCTGTCCGCTTGCGATATGTGGCCATCGGGAATTCGGGTTTTGCACCTGCGCTTTCTGCCTCGCCCTAGAAGTTAGGCCGGCTTTTCCTTGCAGGCGCATCGGGATGCTTTTCCTGCATGGCTGGATTTAAATTCTCGGGAGGAGGACGCTGTGGGAACCTAGTTTCTTAATGTTTCGGGCTGAACAGCTAAGACAACTAAACACGGAGCACCACGATTATTATCCAACAAACTCTACAACGAACGTGAAACTAGCCCAGACTCAGAACCCTAGAAACCCTCCAAGTTGCATGTCCACAATGCAGCCAGGTGTCCTTGGATAAGTCATCATGGGACGTATACAACATACACAATACGAGCACGACTCTGGTCACTGCACAGACTGGTCTTTTGCATACGAATGCAGGCAGCATCACACATGCAATCCGACTGGGTCCGATAACGGACAGCTTAACACACAAGCCTGTGAGACACATCCTACCCCGCACGGGCTGGACGTTTCACGGCCGCCGCGGGACGCTTCACGATCTTTCTGACTCTGCCAGAAGCATTCTTACGCCTACAGATACGGATGGGAACAGCTTGAAGATTCTGATTGTAGAAGTTACACATTGCCTCTACCCAAAACCGATGCGATCGGGGACGGAGATTGTTCAGGAAGAAGTTGAGACTCCGAACCCAAGCATTCACCGACTCGGAAATGCAGGTGCGCACATGGCGGCAGCGCTTGGCTTCGGCCCGCGTCCACGTCTGCTTGTGACAGTGGTGGTTGCTTCTGTGGAATACATCCACGACGAAGTATCGGATGTTGTCAAAGTGATCGGAGTATTTCTTGTTCTTGATGAGCTGCTCAAAATGGTCTCCTTGCTGTGGTGATTCTCACCTTCGGACTTGCCAACCTCAATGGGTGCGGGGTCCTTGTCCTTGATTGCTTTGGCGTTGTTGGGTGCACGAGACCGTTTGCTTTGCATGAAAGTGCGGAGTAGTCTGAGCTCGGCTTCCTGATTCCAACTGGCCTCCTTCATACGAAGCGCGTACCGCGTATTGGTAATCATAACTCGTAGATCTTGCTTGCATAGGGGTCGGCGTGATGAATGGACCGGCACACGACCCGCATGGATGGCGTCAATCAGCTCCTCGGTGTTTGGGGGCGACGATACATCTTTGCGTGGGTATGGCTCTGCTGGTGCGGCCGCTGCCGGCTCGAGCGATAGCAAAACCCGCTGGCCATCTACAATAGCTTTCCCTGATACCTGAAAAGGCAGCATGTCTGCCAGTGAAACGGGTGAGACGTTGCTGTGCTACAGTGTTTGACTTGTCTTTAGCCGAAATCTGCACATGTGTTTGTCATCATTTTTTGGCTCCCGCATGGCGAGTCTGACGACTGCATGGCAGGTAACACGTGAGCTTGGTAGGAAGACACTCTGCGTGACAGCAGCACCGTGTATCCGAAAAGGCCCTCGACCGCCCCACGTACTTGCTACAACAAGATAACAAAACACAAAAGAGTGCCAGTACGAAAGCGCAAGTTTTCGTAAGGCCGGCCGGGGGATGACATACCGACAAGGGCTAAAGGCAGTCTACAGGGTCAGCACAGCACGACTCCAGTTCAGTACGCAAGTTCGAAGAGCCTAACAGGACTAGGTGCCTTCAGCAAAACACCGTTGCAACACTACGGTAGTGCCACTCAGTACTCCTAGTCCCGTTCAAACTTCATGAAGATCGACCCCTTTGCAACACAGCGAATACAACACTAACTTCAAGCCAATCGAGTATATCGATCTTCCACTACTCCACAAACTACTTGATGCCGCCCCGTAGCATCTGTTCTTTTGTCTTTCTTTTTACGAGGTCTTTTCATTTCTTTTTGAACAGAGGTGCCCGGTCAGAAGGAGCCACTCACGGAGACAGCCATCTTGCGTCACATACTGCAAGGCAGTGATCCCACGCACATTCCGGTGCTTGCAACGCTCTCATCCCCGCTGCATTTGTTGCTTCTGGCAGACTTGTGCGCTGTTGGTTGCCATCGCAGTGGCAACCAACAGTGTTTGTCATCATTGTCCTCACCATCTGGGAGGTTGTATGCTAAACATGGCCACAAGCTGCTGCACTTCAGAATGCTGGAGGTTGTAGCCCGATACTGTTACACTAACACCCTCCAAGTTGCGCCACATTGCAGTCGAGAGACCTGCAGCGGGCAGCTGGGGTCTATTGAGGTTCAATAGCCGATATTTAACCTCAATAGCCCCCCCCCCGGAATCCAAGATCCAAGATGTCCCCAGAAAGTTTTTCAGCCAATCTTGGATTCCGGGGGGGAGGGCCATTGAGGTTAAATATCGGCTATTGAACCTCAATAAACCCTAACCATGGAATCCAAGATTCCCCGAAAAACTTTCTAGGGGCATCTTGGATCTTGGATTCCGGGGGCAGGGCTGTTGAGGTTAAATTTCGGCGATTGAACCTCAATAGCCCCCCTCCCAGAATCCAAGATCCAAGATACCCCTACAAAGTTTTTCGGGGAATCTTGAATTCCATGTCTATTGGCCGGCTCAACCCGTTAGAGTATGGAAGAGAACGTGTGGGAACCTATCCAAAAACAGGTTGGTCGGTTCAACACGTTAAAATGAGAGAAGAGAACGTGTGGGAACCTATCCAAAAACAGGTTCCCACAGCGTCCTCTTCTCTTAAAAATTTATGTAATACCCGGAAAACCCATAAGGATTGCCGGCTTTTGTGGCCTTTCAGGGGAGGCCTTAAAACCCGGAGGCGCCATGTGGCGCCCACCGCCTCTTTCAGGTGGGGACTTTTAATTAACTGCATGTTGAATTCATCTTGCTAGGCGTGCGTCTTCGACAGACTCCATCGCTGCGAATGAAAATGTGTGTGTGTGTGTGTGTGTGTGTCTCTCAAACCCTGTTCCAAAGAGCGAATGTAGAGCCTTGCAAGCAGGGGCCAAAAGCATTCTGGAGGCTTGCGCCAACGAAGACTCTGCAGACACTTTTCAATATCATGGGGAGATTGATGTGCTGTACAATCATCGCCCAACCAAAGCTTTCATCACTGTTGCTTCTGGTCCAGGCCGTGATGACGCAAACATGTAAGCAGAACCCGAGGGCAACAATAGCATCTTCGATTCAAAGCACTGGCTCTCGTTTCGATCATGTGTTTGTGTGTACCACCCTGTGACCAAGGGACTATTATTCATTTGCCATTTCAAAGAAAGCAGGGGGCCAGCGGAGAGGCAGGTAAGATGAGTGTGTGTGCTGGCCAACGAAAACCGCGCACTCATCTACCTGTCCTCTCGTGAAAACGTACCTGCTATGAACTCGGAAACGGGCAGTGAGAGGAGCGAAAAGATGCTGATTGATTGGAAGCTGTTAGGCCACGATTGTAGGAATACGTGCTACAAGTAACTCATGTTTGGCTTCGGTCAATCGAGAGTCCATCAAGTGTGTGCGTGGGTGCGTGGGTGCGTGGGTGCGTGGGTGCGTGGGTGCGTGGGTGCGTGTGCGTGCGTGCGTGCGTGCGTGCGTGCGTGCGTGCGTGCGTGCGTGCGTGCGTGCGTGCGTGCGTGCGTGCGTGCGTGCGTGCGTGCGTGCGTGCGTGCGTGCGTGCGTGCGTGCGTGCGTGCGTGCGTGCGTGCGTGCGTGCGTGCGTGCGTGCGTGCGCGGGGGGGGGGGAGGATACACCTGTCTGGCTTGGAGGCAGGGTTGCTGGTAGCTCATTCTGAGAAGAGCTTACACACGAGGACAGAGTCAAAGCTTTACACGAGGCTTCGCCTCTCATTAGCTTGAAAGCTTTGGTTTCACAAGTTTCGTGAAGGTTGGGAATGGGAGAATCCCTAAAACTGAGCTGCTGTGTCCTGTGTTCACCACTCTGTGTCCAGCGGCTTTTGCCCAGAAAGGAGGAAACGCTGCGCACGACGTAGGGGTGATCCTGCGCAGGCTGGAGGTAAATCGATCCCGACTCTTAAAGTAGCACGCGTCCTGCGATTGGGAATCCAGGTCATGGCGCACATATGTGCACTTGCCCTTCGACTGCAAACGGACAAATGTTGCAAATGCCAGCGTCGCAAGGCCAGGCCTCGCCCAGGCAAAGGTTCCCTTCGTGCTGAAAAGCTGTGAGTCCTCGGGAAGGTCGAGGCAAAGTCCCCGCTCCGCTGCTTGCCGCGCGCGGCGCTGCAAGGCTCGAAGCTCCGACGCCTCGGCAGGGTGTTGACAGGGCTCTGGACTAGAGAAGTGCTCAACGCAATCAACTCGGGTCGACCTTACGGCAGCGATGGGAACTTAAGACACATGTGGCCGAAGAATACCAAATATCCGATGTGCTGAAGGCCGATCTTCTCGTCTCTCCGTGGTGCCAGGGCGCCAGGCTGCATCTGAAGCCCAGGTCGCTGCAAGGCGGTGCCATTTGCATGGAAGACACCACACATGGCCGCCCTGGGTCTCCAGGCTCAAGGTTCGAAGGGAAAAAAGGAGAAGAGTGCTGACCTGGTCTTTTAACTCAATTTCTGGTTCGATCTTGCAGTGGATTTCACAGTTTGCGGCAGCAGCCTCTGCGACAATTACCATGGAACGTGGAGAGCCCCTGTCACCTGATAGAAAGCTTGATTCGCGAACTGCCCGCGACTTCTTGATTTTGGGTTCACCGGCACTGGCACGTGCTTGCAGAAACAGCCATAATTAGAAAGCAACAAGTCTTGCGCACCGCTGTCGCCGACCTCTGACCTACAATCTACACCATGCTACACCGACCGGGTCGGCAGGCAAACTTGTGGCAAACTGCTTCCTTGCCCGTCGGTTCGCTCAGTCGATCTGCCGCAGGGGCCTCGGCATCCTGAGTCGCCACTCTCGGACAAAGTGACACCGGCAGACTCGCTGCACGAAGTTCTGAGCTCCGAAAAACACCACCAAGCGATGATTGAGCACCCTGAGTCACTGGCTTTTTGGAGTTGAGATTTTCAGCAACCTTCGCCTGTGCAGGGCAGCAACATTCGCGACAAGTTGGACAAGCTGTTCTGGGCGGACATCCAAAAGGCGCCTGCTTTGGGCCCATTCGCTTCCACTTCAGTATGTCTTTCCTCAGCGACGGGTGGAGCACAGGTTGGTTCAACCTTCTGACGGTCTCTGCGATCATCCCACTTTGGTCCAAGGGCCCTTGAGGCTCCAACGATACGCCGAGACGCACTGCGCCACCCCGCATGTCGTGGCCGTCTACACAAGAGTCCAAGCCATGGGCTCGGCCTCCTTCTCTCATGGTCCGAACTCTATCGGCCAAGGGTCTTCGAAAGCTTCTTGCGCGGCTTTGGCATCAAAGTGGAGCGGATGTTGAAACTCAGCGGCACGCCGCCTCGCGGTCGAGACACGGGCTTCTTGGGCCTTGGGCTCGGGGCCTTCAGGGGGGTCGTTAGGGGGAGCTCACATCGGCTACATTGCGGCTATAGATGTTTTTGTAAAATACCTATACAGCCATCTGACAGCCGTTATGTTCCGACGGCTCCGCAATGATCCAAAAGGAGCTTCCAAAGCACCTCCCACTTTGGATTCAAGGGGCTTATTCTGAATTCGTCCCGCATCGCATTCTGCATTTGCCTGATGTAGTTCCTCAGATTGCCAGTGCTTCGTGCCATCTCGCGAGAAGCTGTCAGCGAGCATCAGCTGAAGGCCAGACAAATCCGAACCCGGAACCCCTGGCAGCCAAGACTCTTGGGAAACTCACCGTAGGCGGAGTTCGTCCACAGGACAAACGTCGGCGGCCGTGCCTTGGGGTGAAGCGGCTCCACAGCCGACAGTTTAGCATCGGCCTCAGGATCCTGCTCGTGTCTGCGTCATGTACTTGATGCTGCACCTCCAGGGTTGAATCACTTCCGCAGCGGAAAATGAGATTGTTTCAACTAAGTGGAACCCACTGTCCGGCTTTAACATCTTACAAGCGTTCCATGCGGCGCAGCTGAAGAGACGAGCTAAGAGTTCAGGCTGCGGGCACTCAGCCGGCACAAAAACAATGGCCGGTCTGCAACACCCATGTCCACTAAGGACGAGTCACAGGACAAACACCGCCTACAATAGTACAAAACATGTATACGATTCTTGGGATGAGACTTCTGTCCGTTTCTCCAGGGAGGAGGCCAACGCAGCATCCAAGCCTGTGCCAGCAACTCAAGTTGAATCTCACTGTGCGATTTGAGCTGAAGGAGCCACGACTTGTGGCGGGCTTCGCGTGTTTTTTTCCATGGATCTGGCAGATTCTGGCCCCAAAATCATGCGTATCTCACTTGGCACTCGGGAGTTGCATGACCCGGGTCTGGTTAAACAAAGCCGTTCTGTTTCTTACAACTCACACCTGTGCAACGCGACGTGTTCGTAAACCCTTCCGACCTGGCCTGGAGCCAGCTGTTCAACCTGCGCGGGAGCTCCAGCCCAGAAAAACGAACAAAATCTTCGCTGCATACGTCCTCAACTGTCCTGCTTGTGGGAAGCCGCGCGCTCCACCTCTTGTAGAGCGCTAGGCTTCGTGTCCTCTGCTTGGCACTGTCGACTGTCGGGGTCTAGTCAAGACTCCACCCTATCGACTCTTCATCCACATGTCGGCTCTGTTCGCCAAGGTGCATGAGCATAGGCAAGTTGAGGTTGTACTTGGCCGAGAGGAACACGACGGGGACGCCCTTGATAGAGGAAAAGCAATCAGCGATCCTGCACAGAGACACGTGCACGATGAGGTTTCTAGATCAGTGCGCTGCAATACAACCCGGTTTCACCAGCATGTCTTGCCCACGGATCGCTCTCCCTGAGCCTGCTGAACTAGGTATGTCACATATTCAGGGAGACTTGGCCTCTTCAGGATCTCTTCGCGGTACTTTGGCTGGTCGTTCTCGTGGATGAGGTCCCATTTGTTGATGGCCTGGGCGAACAACTCGGGGCATCCCCTTCGCAGTGGGAGACGACGTTGCATCCCTATGCTTTTTCGGATGCCTTCGTCTTCCGAAGGATGTTGGGGAACAGTGGAAGAATATGTTTTTACTGCAGACAAGTGCTCTTTCTACTGGGACCCAGCAACCCGTCACAGTAGCTTGCAATGGACACCATCACGGTTTGGAAGCTGGCTTTTTCGTCGCACACTGGGTGATGGCGACTGAGCCATGAACTACGTATCGGAGCGAAAAACGAAACTAATGGGACACTCTGCAGAGCATGTGTACATGACGAAACCCCGGACAGCCCTTGCCTTTTGCGGACGCATAGGCGAACTCAGATCGGATCATGCCCTCAGCCCCCGTGTCGACCACGCCCGTTGAAGGCAGTGGGACCCGGTCGCGGTTCGGGGATTCGCAAGCTTTGGCTAGCAAGGCTCTGTGGCACGCGACAGGCACCTTTGCACAGATTGACAGCGATCAGCCTACACATTGTCACTTGCAGATGAGGGCAAGTGCCTGTCATGCATGCTCGGATCTGGCAAGGCTGCGCGGGGTACATCTCGAGGCAATGCAAGTGCAGACAACCATAAGGCATCCTGGGATTGTGGTAGATTTGTCGATGTCATATCAACAGCAAAAGCACTGCGGGGTCCGGCGCCTGCCTTGTATTAGTGAGCTAAAGATCACAAGAAGGCCGTGAGCTGTGCCGCAGGCACAGGACTCTCACCGGAACTTGTGTTCCCCTGGAAGAGCTGCACGGTTGCTCTTCGAGTCCTTGCTTCTGACTCTGCTTCTCATCTCTCGAGCACCGTAGACTCTAGATTCCACGGCGCTGATGCTGTCAGGTTTGTTCAGCTCACACGTCATCTGGGGTTCCTAACTTCTGGAACTTTCAGGTTGGGCCCGCTGCCTGGATGCACTTTGTCGGTGGCGCGTCTTCGGCGTCCTTGCCGACACCTCCCAACTCGAGGTTTACCGGTGGAGACGGCAGAGCCCTCGGCCCTCAGCGCTGTGCCTCGTGCGCTTTGGCGACCTCATCCACCTCCCAACAGCCAGAGCCACAAGAAGTAAACCAAAACCATCTCTTACTGAAGATCCCAGCACCTTCTGTCGCGTGTGGAAGAGGTTCCGCTGCCAAATCCAGGAAATCTGGCAGGAGGGGAGAGCTTAGAACGAAGGCATGTGCAAAGCCAGCCCAGGCCCGAGTCAGGAGCAGTCTCGGAGCGTGACATCATTATGTTACCCGTGAGTACAATGTCCGCCTTTGTATTTTACAGGGCGTTCCGGCTGTGCGGGCTTCGATGGAATCTGTTTTCGGGCGCTGCACCTGCTCCGCTGTGAGCTGCAGGTCACTGGGCACTTGCTTGCGCAAGCTGCACTCAGCCCGGATCTCGTCGGAAACCTTGGTGCGGGTGTGTGTCCGGTGTTTTGCCCGCTGGCCCTTCCCCGCAGTCTGCAGTAAGCGCTCTTTTTTCGGCTGTGTTCACGAGGGAGCTTCCGAAGGAGCGTTTGCGTGCTGCTGCGCCACGCTCGGCTGCAGTTGTTTCCCGGAGCCTCCAAACTCCACGGGAATGAAAGGGCGCAACGCCAGGATGTCCAAATCACCAATAGGTATCGGGTAGCCCCGTTGGTGGATTTTGATATACAGCGGATGATTTTCCAAATAATCACGTTCCTCAGCGGTGAGGTTCTCCAAATTTACAGTCGGGGGCTGTGGCTCCTCTTCCTCCACCTCTGCGGTTGCGGCAGGATGACACACTTCAAGAGAACGCAACATTCCGAGAAACCCCGAATCTGGCAACACCAACCTCATGTGCTAATGCCACCACCCCCCAAAGCAAAAACCCAAAGCCATCTCCGATACACCCATTTCAAAGGCCTCCTGCTTCGCTGCCTCTGTTTTTTTCTGGTCACCGACCTGGCTGCTGGCGGTGGCATGTGAAGTGGCTGCTGCAGTTGCTCAGAAGTAGAGTGGCCCTACAACAAAAGCACAACCGGAATCCCGTCCAGAAGCCTGGAGGGGTTTAAGTTTCAAGAGTTTTAGACTTTAGGGCGTCGACCGTCGCAGGTTCTTTAGGGTCTTATCAAGTTTGCATAGGTTGTTCAGTGCTTTTCGAATCGTGTTGAGGCGTTTAGTTTGGATTCGAGGGCAGGTGAGAAGCTCTTCCGTTCGGGACTCCGGCTGCTTATGCTGAGACTTTTCCGTTTCATGCAAGGCTGTTCCCTCCTGCTTCCTGGGAGGCTCCCGCCATGCATCGTGGGCATCTGCGGATTCCCGCAACATATAATGAGGGGTCCATCGTGGGTTGGGTCTTGCTTGCCCCCGCATTTTCGGGCCTTTGGCTGGGGACTTGTTCTCGAGCCGAATTTCACGGATCTCTCTTGCGGTGGTCCCTCTCCCATTCCGCAGGTCTGTGGCCTCAACCCCTCCCACGGCTAACGTCTCTCTGTGTCGTGCTTCTTCTTGCTCATCTTCTCCATTCTTCTCAATTCTCACAGGCCCAGGAGGCATCCCCCAATGCAGAATGGGCCATCGGTTTGGCCCCAAACTCGCAGTCTACCCCAGGCTACGGGTCAGTAGTGCAGGCACAACCCAAAGCCACATGCTTCTGCGCATCTACACCCAAAATTTCGAACCATCCCACTGCGTTGAAGCGCTCGCAGAAATGCACAGCCCTGAGCCCGGTGAGCCCACCCTCCGAAGGCGTCGAATGTGGCTTGGAAGCGGCTTCGGGGGCGGAGGCGGCACCTCGACGTCCTGCACAAGGGGTGGAAAAACGTGAGCCTATCTCAGCCTCCGCCGACTCCGCCAGTTCTCCCGGTCCCACCTCAAGGACCTGGCATTCATCCGGGGCCAGCTTCCGCAGCCTCCGCAGCTTCTTCGCGGGCTCTGGCAGGGCGCTTTTCTTTTGCTTCGCTTTGGCCTTGGCCCGGGGGGGAGCGGCCTTCGCCTCCAGGGCGCCGATCTCCACGAGATGCCGCCTCACCGCCTCCTCGGAGTCGAAGATCTCCTCTGAGGGGCTCCGGAAGGATGCTTCGCTGAAGAAGCCGGCGAAAGTGATCTGCCAGCTTTTCGGGAGCCAGTTGGGCCAGTGCTCTGGAAAGTTGCAGGGGAGATGTCTGCCTTCCTGGTCCACGGGTACCAGCTCCTGATCATGCGCGGCCCGGACGTGCGACTTGTTCTGAACAATCTTGGACCCCAGATGCTTGGGTGCCACGAAGACTTTACGCCGGAAGCCGTTGGAGTCTTTCTGCCAGGCTTGGCCCCAACCCGGGGGAAGCCAAAGCACTCGACGCAAGCTGCACAGCTCCAGACCTGGAGGCCAATTAGCCTTTCAGGGAGTCGGGGCATTCCGCGCTTATAAGTGAAAATGCCCTGTCACAGACTAGCTCAAGTCACGTTCAGCCATGGTTACCTTGACACAGGCTGACGAACGCCCCGTCCTGATCACTGAATGGCGGTGCCAAGATCTTCTGAACCTCATCGAAACTGTAGAGAGCAAAGGGGGCTGCGAGCCCTCCGTCCTCTGGCTGATTCTCAGGAGAGTCCTTCGTTCCTGACCGGCGCCGGATAAACTAGCGGTCATGCAACTAAACACAACCCTATATAGGAGCCTTTCAAATGACGGTGATTGTCTCCACAGCTACAAGGCATACGGTCTACGAGGGGGTCAGATGGTAATGCACTGACTCGTCCTAACACCGCCTTGCAACAGTCTGGTGCAATGCCGGCTGCCCACTCCGAATTGTCCTATGTCCCGACATTCCTGAATGCTGAAAGACTTGGGGACCGATGCGGAATAACGTGGGCTTACCAAAGCGTGTGCCAATGTGGTACCAGAATCCGTCGGTGTTCATGGTCCACCAGCGGCCGTGCACATTCAAGCAGCGACACCGTTGCAGGCATGCTCTGTGCTAGCGGTATTTTCGGCACAATCAAGGCCGGCTCCTATGCTGCGGCTCGCTCACCTGACGTTGATCCTAGTCATAATCTGTAGCTTTTCGGGAGGGCGATGCAGGCGAGCAACACCTGCTCGAGCCATACTCGCCAGGAAGCAAAGCACAACTCAACGAGGAGCAGCACACAAATACAAGCCGGTTATAATCTTGCCAATCCCAGGGCAAAAGACGAATGGACCTTGCTTTAACATGGAAGCACGTAGTGCAGTCAGGATGGCCAGTTCACGTGCAACATAGATGTAGTGCTTCAGCCAGGGTGCTATCGCGAACTGGCTTCTTTGCACCAGTAGGCGTGCATATACTGCAGAGAGCTTCTCAACGTACTCCTTGGCCGCGGGTTGCTAGCTGATGTCTCCGACGAGCCCTTGCGCTACGGCAGTGCGTAGTGTGAAATGCACGGTATCGTTGGCCACTCGCTTTAGCTGAGTATGCTGGCCTATGCTGCTGGCTCCTTTATCATTTGCTCGACTGAGAGACAGCGAGGGTCAGACACAGAGAGAGCGAGAGAGGCAGACGACATTGAGACACATAGGGGGGATAGGCAAGAAGAGAATCAGAGAAGGTCTGCAGACACACGGGCAGGAAAAGCAGACAAATGGAAGATGAACAAGGGTAGCTGGGCAGATGTGGTAGGCAAAGTTTGCACCCCAATGACCTCCAAACGAGAACCCCAACAGATCTTCCACGCGTCCTCGGCACTGCCCGGAGGCTTCGCTTCCGCAGCCCGGTCGATATCCCGGAGTGTGGAGGCATACTGTCGGCAGCAGCTCTCCTTGATTGGGGAGATCATCATATACATATAAGTTTTTTTGTCACCCACCTAGCACGGCAATGCCAGCTCCGCGGGGCTCTCTATGAGCGACGACCACTATACATATAAGTATGTATATATATATATATACAGTCATATATGTATGTGTATGTATATTATATATCTACAAATAATAGATTCCGCCAAGAAAGACAGGCCAAGGAGCCAACGTCTGAAGAACTCGCGTAGCTGGAACCTCTGCAGGATCTGAAGTGA